AGAAACTGAGGAAGAAACAAAGACCAGCAGCCACATGGAAGCTGCAAGGAGGATAGTCTCTTGGTTGGACCAGTGTAGAGGGGAGTTGTGCCTGGCCTATGGAATTGGGGTGTAGGTCCAGGAGATTCTCTCTAAACCTGGGGCTGTCTGATCGCCTGAACTCCTTGCTGGGCAGCTCATCTCTGTTGTAAGGTTTTTCCTAATTCTAGGTTTCATGGGCTCTCTGTCTCCTCCAGGAGCAGGAACTTAAAGCTGCTGCTGATGGTGTCTTATCTGAAGTGAGGAAAAAACAAGCAGATACCAAAAGAATGGTGGACATTCTTCGGGCCTTGGAAAAACTGAGGAAACTCAGGAAAGAGGCTGCAGCCAGGAAAGGTAACATAGCTTTACATTTCTACTTGTATTTCTTCCTGTCTCCTTTTCTTACCCTTTCTTTTCTCTGGTGTGACCCACCCCCACCTTCCCCAAATTTATGAAGGAAAAAATGCTTGATATTTCATTATTTTCACCCAGTGGGGTAACTAAGTTTGTTAGTACCTCAGTACCTCAGAACTTTTAAAGTAGGAAGCCTCAGAAGATGTTTAGCCCTTGGTAGTTCCCCAGATTGGAAAGAGAGGCACATATGGAACCCACTGCACTGTCTTTCTCTTGACTCATCATTCCCACCCCAGGCATTTTTGCCACATTTTTCTGAGGGATGTTGGCGAAGCTGGTCAGCTTTGCCCATATGTCAAGGTGAAAGTTGTTCCATCCTTACTTGGTGCTTCAGAAGGTGTGGGGAACTTGGCATGCTCCTTCAGATACATTCAAACCTGAAGCATTGATGTTTGAAGAGGTAGGAATGGTTGGATGGGGCAGGGAGTTCCATGCTGTCTGCAGGGATGTCTCCCGTGTGCATGAACGTCTCTTCTGGGCTCAGAACACTTACGTGGTCTCCTCTTGCCTCTAGGGGGAGCACTGGTTTTGTAGACGTTTCCTCTATTGTGCCTTCCGTTCGCCTGTGTGGGGCTTTGCCCTTGCGGTTCTGTTCGTCCCAAGGGCGTTCAGCGCCATCTTTGCCGTTTTAAGCCCTCCCTATTCTACAAAAGGACATGCAGACGCACCGTCCTCCATCCATTCCTGACTTGGGCGGAGGTGACCTCCTGCCCCTCCTAACTAGCTCCTGATGTGGACTACATGCTGCCTTCTTTATGTAAGCCATAGACATCACCATGGATCTTTGAGAGTATACAAATTAGCAAGAACCATGATAGCAAATGATTTCCTCTGTGTGTTATAAAATATAAATGAAAACTGTGATTCAGACCCGTAGAAAAGTTTTGTCAGGATATGTCCATTGTGCCTTTAGCCAGGCTCTTTTATTAGCTAAATGATTAGCTTCTGCATGCTAGCCTTTAGAGTGGTGATTCAGGTTCAGGCCTTATAATCAGATGACTCCATAGGGCATTCATGCATCAGGGAGGAGTTTGCATCTCCTGTGTCTACCCATATTATTCCTGATGAGAACGCAAAGCCTGAGGGCTGCTACTTAATATTTCCCTACCTCATGTCTTCTGTGAGGTGGGTGGTCTGAACTTTTGCCAAGTGCATTTACCAGCATCATTTCGCACTGTTAGTGTTCCTCACTTTGGGCCAAAAGAAGGAGGAAATTTTAAGAGGAGTTACGGTCTATAAAGATAAATAACGTATGGATGTGAATGTAAAATGATTTGGTAACTTGCAACTTGTTGCATTGTATACTTAGAAAACAAACAGCTTTTTAACTTCTTAGGGCATGTGTACCTCCCAGTAAGTGCTGAGAGAACGCGGCTGGATATGTAACCATGTCAAGGTGTTTTTTGAGAGACCTCTCGGCTACACTTCTAGCTGAGGGGAATCACTGAAACATTATAAGCAGAGAGTGAAATGATGACAAAGATCAGTGTTGGCAGATCAGAAAAAGGTTTGGAGCATCAAGTAGGGAGGGTGAAAGAGACTGAGAAGGCAGTTGGCTGGGCAGGGATCATATGGGAGTGTGAACCAAGGGTCAGACAGTGAGTTGGAGAAAAATACATGGATTTGAGAGATAGGAATAAAGTAGAGACAGAGTGTGTGTGTGTGGGTGGGTGGGTGGATTGAAGTCCGTGCCTTGGTTTCCTCATTGGTAAGAAAGGAATAATGATAGTACTCACCCATGGGGTATTGTGATGATTAAATTAGTAAACATGCACAACGTGCTGGAAACAGTCATGGCACATACTAAGTGCCATATAAATGTGTCATTATTATTTTTATTATCAAATAATATAAAGATTGAGAAACGTTCCTAGGAATTAGTACCCCAAAGAGCATGAGTGACCTATGTTAGGTACGTTGCAGTGGAGTGCTATTGGCAGAAGCCAACTAGACTAAAGAGAGACAAGGAGTTAAAGACAAACAGTGAGTTCAGCTTATTAAAAGTTTGCCTGTGAAGAAAAGGAGAGAGCAAGACCAGCTTCTGACAGTTTGTCTGCGTTGGTGGTAGTGGAGGTAGGGAGAGGGGTGGTAATCTTAGGGTTATGGGAAGAAGGTGAGCATTTTAAGTGTTGGTTGAATGAGTCAGTAGAAGGAGAAAGGTCCAAGGGAAGCAGGAGGGATAGTTGACTCAAGGCCCTGCAGGATGTAGGGACATGAACCCATTTTCCATTGGAATGAAAACAAAGGAGACAAGGATGGATAGTAATGTAGATAAGCAAAATGGAGACAGAAAGTTAAGGGATTTCCTGCCTGATGGCCTGTTTTCTGTAGGAAATAGGTAAGATGGTTGGCTGAGAGTCAGAGAAGGAAAGCTTTAGGAGAGCAGGGAAGGTTGGGAATAACTGCGGTAAGCAATGAGTGAGGGTGGGAGCAGGGAGGTGCTGTGGGCCCAGCACTGGGTCCTGCAATCGGATGGCTTCCAGGGAGGACTCTGCAGCAGCAGGTAAGCACAGAGCCCCTGGGGTTTTGCTTCTGGGTGACCACAGGTTTCGGTGAGGAGGAGGAAGAAGGGTGGAAGTGGATGCATTAGGTCAGAGCTTTTAATAAAGCTAACAGAGACTCAAGAAGATTAAGTTGAGCCTTGAAGATTGGTTAGAATTTACAAATTCTAAGCAAATTTATACTGTAAGTTGAACTTGTGAGGCTGCTCATTAGAACACAGATGTTGGAGTAAGAAAAAGTTTTATCTAAAATGTCATTTGGTGGGTAAGATTCCTCAAGTGAGGAACAACCTAAGACAGGCACAGTCACAGGGGGGCCATCAGGTGAGAAATTGGGGATCAACAGAGGTGAGGCTTAGAACCCCACCCCCCCTGTTTTGAGAGAAATCTTCTGCATCCGTGGATGTTTTGTTGCCCTTGTTTAGCTTGGATCAATACTTAGTCTATAGGCACAGACCTGATCATCTACATTTGCCCTCTTACAGCACTAAACTATGTTTTCTACCTTTATCTTGCATCTACCTACCACTTCAGCATTTTATTAAAAATAATAATAACAATAATAATAAGGGAGAAATGTGGGATTCACATATAAATCAAGTATAAAAATCAAACGAATATTCATACTTGACCTGATTGTTTATAGCTCATGATGCGTGATCAAAACCGAAAGTTTCTGTGACGACTGCCCTTGCACTGTTCACCATGTAAGAACTTACTCACTATGTAAGAACTTGTTCACCATGTAAGAACTTGTTCGTTATGCTTTAGAAGATTGGAGACTGTTGAGAACTAGGCTTGGGGTGGATTAATGATTGTGCATTGAGTCCCTTATACAGAATTTTATTGTTGTTAACAACCATTTGATCAAAAAAATAAAATAAAATAAAATAAAATGTCATTTGGATCTTTCTGCGCAGGAGTCTGTCCTCCAGCCTCAGCAGATGAGACTTTTGAGCATCATCTTCAGCGACTAAGAAAACTCATTAAAAAACGCTCTGAATTATATGAAGCTGAAGAGCGAGCCCTCAGAGTTATGCTGGAAGGAGAGCAAGAGGAAGAGAGGAAAAGAGAATTAGAAAAGAAACAGAGGAAAGAAAAAGAGAAATTTTTACTTCAAAAGCGTGAAATTGAGTCCAAGTTATTTGGGGATCCAGGTAAGTTCCTCTGTAACCAGTGGAGAAAGAAGAAACTAGATTGACAGCCCTTTTCCTCATGGGTGTTCTTCACCTAAGCTAAATGACACCTTGAGGATTTGAAATTCAGCACTGTATCCTGGAAATCATGGATAAAAATGAAACAGATTCATATTGTCATAGGCTCAGTCACCTTGCCTTGAGAAATACACTCTAGATATAAAGCATGATGATGTGGTGTTGTGCCTTCTCTTTTTCAGATGAGTTCCCGCTTGCTCACCTCCTGCAGCCTTTCCGACAGTATTACCTGCAAGCTGAGCACTCCCTGCCGGCGCTCATCCAGATAAGGTCAGGGGGCACTCTCCATGTCACCTTCCCCTTAGGTAGCAAGATGCCTTTGATAAAGTGCTTATGTTGTTGAGGTCTATTACTGTGTCCTTTTAAGTTCCTTATGGGCTTTCATAATGTTTCCAAGTTTCAAGGAAGCCACGTTTTATTTAGTCCTTGTGAATGTTAGAGAACTAGATGTCCCTATTTTAACAGGTGAAGAAATTGAACCTCAGGTTATGACTTTCCCTTTGTATTATCCCATGCTACAGCTCTTATGATCATATAAAGTATTGGCTTCCTTTCCCTAACTCTCTCCTGCTGCTAAACAGACCAAGGAAAAGAACCCTTCCTCTGTGGTTTTTGCCTGTGGAAACTTAAGACCCATGCTGACTTGTGAGTTCTTGGGCAAAGCCAGGAGAGCTAGGAATAAGGAGTTTCATCCTAACCTGCAGTTACTGATGAGCTGGGTAAAGTTTTCAGCTCTTAGGATCTTACTTTCCTCACCTATAAAATGAAAATGGTGGGCTAAAATGTGGCCTTCAAACCTTAGTAGTGGTCCTCTTCCCAAATGCAGTCTTTTGAGAAATAAGTTTATAAAGACAATTAGAATGAATGAATGGGCTCTGTAGGCAGCTTAAATTTGCTAGTGACTGAAATTACTTGGCTTTTAAATGCTTCAGAGCATCTACTTGGAGTCTAGGGGTCTTCAAAGCCTGGCTTGGAAATCACTGACCTAAGTGATCGCTGATGTTCCTTCCAAAGTTTCAGCAATGCTCTTTAACATACCAAGTTTGTGTTCTGGGAAAAATATATTTCTGGCTAATAAACAACTTTTAGCTTTTAAATACAGTACAGTCGATTCTCGTTATTCACAGTAGCTAGGTTCTGTAAAGCCAGAGTCTGAATTGGAGAATACTGAACTGCTGCTCCTAAGATTATATAGGGTTAGCTTCCTGTGAGCCTCTGGCCACAAATTTTTGTCAATTGATTGATACATAACATTTTTGTATGTGTATTTTTTTAAAACACCTTGCTTAATATATATGGTTGATGCATTAACATTGAACTCATGGCTGACAGCACTGTAACTCATGGCCTGAACATAGCTTATCTAGCATGCATATATTCTCCATATGGCATATCATAGCCTTCTCAGACTGCCAGCACTTCATCACTATACTTAGGGGCCATTTTAAATAAATTGCCATAAAAAGCACAAAAGTGTGAAAAACATGATACTATGTAGACCATGAGGACAGTTGTTTATAATATGAGAGCTGAAAACAAGAAGGCAGAGTGGCACCTTATTTGACCTCACCTGGGCATGTGCCCATTGGGGTTACAAATAAATTTTAGTGAATAGGTAAGTTTACAAATACAGAATCTGCAAATAATGAGGATCAACTGTATATTCATTATTTTGTTACCCATAAGATGATAAGTTCTGAGTTTTTCTGCTTTATTTAAGAAATAACACTTTTGCATAATGCTTAGAAATCACTTCAGTGGACTAGTACATCATTCATTTGAAAGCTAAGTGCTGAAATAGAGTATTTAGTTGCTGAACATCTTGCTTGGAATAAAACCAATAAATAATTGTTCTGCAATGTTCTTATTAGGCATGATTGGGATCAGTACCTGGTGCCATCTGATCATCCCAAAGGCAACTCCGTTCCCCAGGGATGGGTCCTTCCCCCGCTCCCCAGCAACGACGTCTGGGCAACCGCCACTACGCTGCATTAGTAAAGATGCCCCAGGAGTGCGGTCCAGCCAGGGCTCCTCCCAACTCTATGTGTTAGTGATGCCGCCATCTTCTCATGCTGTAGACTAAACCACAATCTCTCCACTCCCATGTCGCATTTCCCTACCCAGAACTTATGTTTTCCTTCCGTGTTCTGTGCTGGTCAGAGGTGCCTCTTGAATCAAGAGATTAATGTGGTTCTTCAGGAAAGGACCTAGGTGAACTGGGGTTACTACCATAGGCAGTGGCCTTAGTTCACCAAATTTGCCTCTGTTTTGAGGGGCTTGGTCCAGAGTGACTTGTTAATTTACTCTTACTCTCCTTGTGTGGTGATGGGTAAGTACACCCCCTCCACTCAAAACAGGTGTGCACTGGATAGATGTAGCAGCCTTTCTCCTAGTCCTGAGTGAAGGAAGCTTGACAACCTCCTCACCTTCCTACCCAGAGAGCCCTCTAACTTCCAGGAGGAAAGTCAGACATGCTTTGTCTTCTGTTTTATGAATCCCACTTGGGGCGCAGCTTGAGAGGCTGCAGACTGCAGGCTGGGCTGCCATAAAAGCTGATAGAAAACCTGGAGAGTACCTGTACCCAGCACTGGATTGTGTTTTAATGGACGATGGCTGCTTTTTCCCCATGTTAGAAGGATCTTAATGAAAGCATCTGTGTTTTAAGTTCCTAACGGTTTAGTTGTTCACAGAGTCCCCAAGGATAGAAATTAATTTCCCTACGGGAGCAGGACCTTAACTTCACTCAGTCACATTGAGGGTGGGGTTTGGTATAGCTGTGAAATTTTCTTAGGATCTCAGGCTTCCAAAAACACCCATGTAGTTAAACCTGGGGAAAGCAGGTAAAAATAATAAAATTTATTTTCTTGTATTCATTAATAAATGCTGTTGTGCTTGGAGATAATCAGTTATATAACACACCAGGTTTTGTTTCAGTTTGTTTTGCCTTTTGTCATTTATTGTGTTATTTATATTTCCAAAAAGCTAAATAAATAAATCATCTTTATTTTTTAGTTCGAGCCTTTGCTCCCAGTTTGTTGTTTCCCAGGTCATTACACACACTTTCACATTGATGAAACATGTTTTTTACCCTAAAATTCACATTTATTAACTAGACATTTGCTACAGGAAGAAGGATCTCAAGCACCAAACTTTGTGGAATCCAACTCAAGAGCACCATCGACTCTGGAAGTGGTTTCATGTAGTAGGAAGCTCTTGGCTGCAAGATGCCATCACCTTTGTACTTCTTCATTGTTTAATTTGCACTGTTAAATTTATATGTTACACATTAGAGAGTTAACAAATAGGGCATGACCGCACTCCTCCAAGGTTGTCTAAGCTCATGAATCTTAAACTCTGAGTTATTAGCCTCACTAACTACATCGCCATGTGTTCCCTTTGGTTATAATCTCCACCATTTGTTCTGTGATGAGATGCAGGAAGAGTAGAAATAAAAGATGAATTGTGTAATGTCTTTTCGGTGTCCAGACAGACTTGCCACTAAGATACCTGCTTTGATGGTGGGCATAGTATGTGAAGTAGGGATCCAGGGAAACTCAGGCCACAGAACCCAGGAGAAAGCATTCAACTTCAAGTGGAAATACTATCCCTCTCCTCTCATTCAGCATCTACACAGTTTTAATAAAGTGAGCATCATTCTTGTGATTTGGTTTGGTGAGTTTCCCTGGTTTATTGCCTCGTGCAGTGTTGGCAGCCCAGGTACTTCCTGGGTTTAAAGATAAGTTTGTTTAGGGAATTATACTTCTGAGAATACAGTGTCATTGTATTCTTATCCTAATCTTTTTTTTTAATGTGGAAAATTTCAAACATACTCAAAAGTAAAGAGTAGTATATATTTTTTCTGTATGCCCATTATAATGCTTCAAATAATTGCTCATGGTAAATCTTGTTTCACCCGTACCCCCACCTCTGGATTATTTTGAAGCAAATCACAGACATATTACTTCATAAGTATTTCAATAGGTAGCTTTAAATGATATTTTTTTATTTAACTCCAGGGCCATTGTGCACCTAAAGAAATAAATGACTCCTTTATATCAAATATCCAATCTCTGTTGAAATTTCCTTATCTTGTGTGTTTTACACTTGGTTCAAGATCTAGCTGCGATCTCTTCGTTGTTGGGTGGTCTGTCTGTTGGATTTCTGATGACTCACAGGTCTCGCCTGCTTCTTCCTGCGCACTCTTGTACTCTGATTCTTTCTCCCTTGCAATTTAATACTTGAAGAAATTTTTCCGGAGTTCCCAGTCTGGATTTTGCTGTATGTTCCCGTATTTCCTATAATTTAACAGTTAGATAGAGCTGTACTGTCCAATATGGTAGCTATATATGGCTGTTTAAACTTAAAATTTTTAATTAAAATTAAATTTAAACTTAAAATTGAGTTTGAATTGAGATGCACAATTACATACATGGCTCATATTTCTATTGCACAGTGCTGATCTAGAGGCTTCATCTCATTTAGATTGGAATTTTCTGGCAAAAATATTTCGTAGGACAGATGTGTACTCCAAGAGGATGAATGGTTGTTTATTTTTGTGATTTTTTTTATTTTTATTAAAGTATGATTGATATACACTCTTATGAAGGTTTCACATGAAAAACAATGGTTTCTACATTTACCCATATTATCAAGTCCCCACCCATTCCCCAGTGCAGTCACTGTTCATCAGTGCAGCAAGTTGCCACAGATCCACTATGTGCCTTCTCTGTGCTACACTGTTCTCCCCGTGATCCCCCACACCATATGTACTAAACAATACCCCTCAGTCCCCTTCTCCCTCCCTCCCCACCCACCTTCCCACATCCCTCCGCTTTGGTAACCATTAGTCCCTTCTTGGAGTCTCCGAGTCTGCTGCTATTTTGTTCCTTCAATTTTGCTTCACTGTTATACTCCACAAATGAGGGAAATCATTTGGCATTTGTCTTTCTCCTCCTGGTTTATTTCACTGAGCATAATGTCCTCCAGCTCCATCCATGTGGTTGCAAATGGTAGAATCTGTTTCTTACTGCTGAATATTCCATTGTGTATATGTACCACATCTTTATCCCTTCATCTACTGACAGACACTTAGGTTGCTTCCATTATCTTGGCTATTGTAAAAAGTGCTGCGTAGACATTGGGGTGCATATGTCTTTTTGGATCTGAAAAGTTGTATTCTTTGGGTAAATTCCAAGGAGTGGGATTCCTGGGTCAAATGATATTTCTATTTTTAGTTTTTTGAGGAACCTCCATATTGCTTTCCACACTGGTTGAACTAGCTTACATTCCCACCATCTTTTTGTGATCTTAGCAGTCATTGATAATCAAGACCTAAGTTTGTTCATTTGGGGTTGCAAAATAGTGATAGTCTGATCCTGCCATTCTTTAGAAGCTAGAATGCTTCTAAAAAGAAAAAACATGCCCTCATCAACTATTTGGTTACCACGGGGTACAGTTTTGTATAGGAAAGGCAAGAGAGAAATACGTAATTTCCTTTATTTACTAGTTTTCAAAATAATAATCTTGTTCCTTGGCATTCTCCAAAGATGACCAGTGGTTTTTGTTTTTAAGTATCATCATGAACTCAGATCTCATTACACTTGTCTTTTAACCTGTTGTTACTGTTCTCCTTATAGATTAGCTCACCTTTGGTCAGTAGGAGCCTCTTACCCAGCTCCTGAGTTCCCACTCAATCCCAGCATTCTGTTTCAAGTTTGTTTTGCACATTTCCTATCCCGGACCTGGAAGCAGCCATTTCTTGAATGGCTCCTGGTTCCTCTTCAGCAGAAAAGGCATTTATAGGCCACAGTCTGCACGATGGGGTGCTTCTTGTTCTTGCTGGTCATTGTTGGCTCTCCTGTTTAGTCAGAACAGGAACTACAATTCTGTTGAGCCGTCAGCCCTTTTCTAAGTCAGGTCCTTTTTATACCTACATTACATATGGAACATAAATTAATGAAAGTAGAGAAATAAACTAAAGACTAAGCAGAAATGTGTTGATTCATCTGTTCTGTATGCAAGAATATTGTTTTTTATTTCCCAGTAGAGGAGAACCTGGACTTGTGAGACTCTCCAACAAAAGCATTTGTTTTTAAGAAATTAATTAAGTATAGGGAAGATTGAAGATGAAATAAAGAGATTAGTTATATGTTAAATACTAAGCGTGTTCAGCCCACACGGCTGAGTTTATGACGTCAAGGAATTTGCTACAAGCCAATCAGCCACTCAAACCATTCATGTTCCTATGTCCACGTGATTTTTGTGCAAGGATTTATTAAGAAGCTTAGCTGGGATTATACCATCTGTTAGCAATTCACTTCTAGGTGTTTTGTCCAAGGGAAACCATCCTGGGAATTGTAAGTAAAAAGTATGTCTTGTTCCATTAAAATATGGGCAATATATAGAAGAAATGTGAGTGCTATGAAGTGTTAGCAGTGATATATTTTAGGGACTAGAGGTCACGTGAGGTGTTTAAATCTTTTTTTTAAAATGCTTGTAAATCAGTAAGCTATTCCTATGTAACTGTATACTTTTAGATGCACCCATACGATAGTTCCTGACTTGCTATGTCTGGCTATCCATGAAGAATTTGTCTCCAGTGCAGGTTCCTTTTAGAATGAACTAGGTTTCTCATAGTCTCTGAAGCAAAGATTAAAGTCTTTGAGGCAATTGGTGTTAGAGAGCATAACTATCCAGAGCAGTAGATAATTCTCAATTTTATTAACTCATGCTTGCCAGAATCTGAATACCAGGATTTCAACTGTGTTCTTGGGAAATGATTTTTATTTACCATTTGCCGGGTATGATATTAAATGCTAGAGACATTAAAAAGGAGCAGGCAAACAGGGTGCCTGCCTCCTGAAGTTAGAGTCTAAAGAAGCTTAGTGACTATATGAATAATTAGTTATAATTATGAAAAGTGCTACAAAGAAAAAAATGCTTAGTCACAGTTTAGATTTTTCATTGTTCAAATATTTAGTAAGTACCTGTTGAGGCTTTTAAATTGCTAACTACAAGGACTATAATGATGAGGAAAATGCAAATACATCCCAATGTAGGCTTTGAGTAAGACAGATATTAATCCAACAGTCACAAAAATGTGCTGAATGCTTTGAAGGAAAGGGGTGGTTCTATAAGATTAATTAGGCCTTTTTTTTTCTGAATTGAAAATTCTGTAATGTGTTTAGGTGAACCAATAGAAAATATCTATGTCTTGTATAGGAAGAGTAAGAGCTGTTAGCAGCTCACAAATGTGTATGCTAGGCCGTAAGGTCAAATGTGTTTCGTACTATGGGTCACAGTAAAAAAATAAAACCTTGAAAGCCACTGTGCAAGGAAGACTTATTCAAGTTTGGGGGTCATGAAAAGGTTTTTTGAGGCAATGATGTTTCAGCTGAGCTTTGAAAAATGACTACTATTAACTAGTGGAGACAAGAAAGAACATAGCAAGTATCTGGAATAGTATATGCAAAGGCCCTGGGTTGGGCCAAGAGACCAAGCCAATTGAAAACCAGCACAGCTCGAGTAAAATGGGAAGTGAGAGCGCAGGGGCCAGACACTACAAGGCTTTTGAAGCCCTTATCAGGAGTTTGATTTTTATGAGAGCAGCTGACAACTATTGGAGGCTTTAAAGCAGGGCAATGGCTTGGTTTGCTGTTTTGAAATGATCGCTTCTGTCCCAGTGGATAGAACAGAATTATAATAACGGCATCAGAGGACACATGGACACCAGTTGTCCAAATGAGAGAGAACCGGGACTTGGATTCCTGTGAGAGCAGTGGAGGTGGAATAAAACGGATCTACGAGAGAAGACTTGGCAGGGATTTGAGATGGGTGGCAGTGAAGGAGGAAAGTGTTGGGCATGAGTCTCCCGCTTGTGCACCTTAGACATTCCTTGAGACAAGGAATTCTAGAGAACAAGGAGCAGTCTAGCAGAGAGGAAAATCAGGAGCTGACTTTGGATATGCTGAGTTTGAGGCTCCACTGAGACATCTTAAAGGAGATATCTTGTAGGGAG